GATCAGCCAGGGTGGCTCCCCCTTGGGGCTCCCAAATGATGCCCCTGGCAGCGTTTTGCGACCATGAGGCTCTCAAGAGATACATGTTGGGGGCGCCAAACGGCAATTCTAGCTGAGACGTCCCACCAAAATCGGCGCGAACGGGCTCGTGAGATCAGCCAGGGTGGCTCCCCCTTGGGGCTCCCAAATGATGCCCCTGGCAGCGTTTTGTGACCATGAGGCTCTCAAGAGATACATGTTGGGGGCGCCAAACGGCAATTCTAGCTGAGACGTCCCACCAAAATCGGCGCGAACGGGCTCGTGAGATCAGCCAGGGTGGCTCCCCCTTGGGGCTCCCAAATGATGCCCCTGGCAGCGTTTTGTGATCATGAGAGAGTGTGAGTGTGAGCTTAACTTATCTTATCTTATCTTGAAATCTCTTCTTATCATATCTTGTGCTATCTTATCTTATCTTGTAGTATCTTATCTTGTCTTGTCTTATCTGGTGATTATCATTGGGAGGAGGGAGGCGGGAGGCGGGAGGAAGAAGGAGGAGGAGGAGGAGTGGGAGGCGTCAGAGTAATAACAAGAACCCCAATCCTTAGGATATGGGGAAATAGTCACTTGGCTATTTTTTGATTGTTTTTTGGTTATTGTTGGGGTATTTTTTTGTTCGCCGAAAATGCCCCTGTAGGGGGAAAGGCCCGACATAACCCGAATCTCGGCGACGGCGACGACGACGACGACGTCGACGCCGACGCCGACGCCGACACCGACGCCGCCGCCGCCGCCGCCTCAACGCTGCGGCATGCAGTGCGTGACGCCGTAGATGGTCCCGCGTCGGCCCGCATCGAGCGATCGTCGCTATCAGAAGTGCCGCGGGACCGTTCCGCGTTTGACGATCTACTCAATGTCATCTCGACGCGAGCCTGCCGTAGTCGAGTACCAGGCCGAACGAAAGGGGGGGATGGGGAAAGGGGTTACGAAATTTGCTGCATGCAGCTAGTTTCGGCTCCGCCGCCGGGCCCATTCCTCGATACATGGGCGCCTCTCGGCGCCAGGAGGCGCTGGGAAAATCAGCTACAGTGAGCTGATTCTCTACCCTACCCTTTGCTATCCCCCCTTTCTTCCCACCCGCGATCGGAAGTGCCGCGACCGATCCAGGTTTGACGATCCACGCGGTGTCATCTCGACGCGAGCCTGCCGTAGTCGAGTACAGTTAAGTCGTGCCTGTCCATCTGCATTTTCGATTGTTTGAATATGTTTGGTGTTTGTCAGGGGTGTATCATTTACTGTGCGTCCAAACTTCCGCCTGTGGGGGGACACGCCCGACCTGAGAGTACACGCGAGAGTGACCCTTCGCCCGAGTGGCCTCTGGCGCGGTCCCGGTGCTGGAGGGCGCCAGGGACCCTCCACCTCCATCTTCCATGCCTTCCGACCTCTGCGGAAGGCGCAGAAGGTGATGCAGTGAAACTATTGAAGAGCCTCGGGAGACGCAAGAAAACTCAGCGTTTCACGAAGCGCAAGAGTGTGGAAGGTCAGCACGGAAGGTCTGGAAGACTGAGAGAGACCCCTCGCCAGAGCGACCTCTGGTGCGGGCCCACAGGGGCCCCCCGCTTGTCGCCCGCGATGCGGTATGGTAGCGCGGTGCCCGCTTGCTGTGCTCGGTTCCTGCGCGGCCCCCAACAGAAACCGCGCGCCAGAGATGTCGCTCTTGCCCCTCCACCTCCATCTTCCACACCTTCCGACCTCTGCGGAAGGCACGGAAGGTGATGCACTGAAACGATCGAAGGCCTCAGGAACCGCAAGAACACTCAGCGTCCCCGCGCGGCCCCCGGGAGGCACACGCTGCACCGAGCCTGGACGGGCCGGCCTGGGGCGCAGGCATCTGTGCGGCGGGGACCCCCCTGCGGCGCCGAAGACCGGACCCTGCCCTCGCCGGTTGACGTTTTAAGTCGGGCCTGTCCTTCTGCAGGAGGAGTATTCTTTGGGGAGGATTTGTCAACAAAAACAAATACTTTTATATATTTGGGTGTATTGATGGGGGTATCTTTCGGTTTTCGTTCAAATCTGCCTCCCCCGTCCCAGCTGGATACTGGCCGTGGGGCCAGGATCTGCGGTGCGCCTGCCCGCTGCGACGGCTCCTGCTCCTCCTCCGCCCCCTCCTCCGCCGTGGCTTTTTTTTGTACGACGCGAGGAGGTCTGGGCCCTCCTCCTCCTCCTTCTCCCCCTCCTCCCCCTCCTCCTCCTCCTCCTCCTCCTCCTCCTCCTCCCCCTCCCCCCCCTCCTCCTCCCTTGCCTCCTCCTCCTCCCTCCTCTCCTCCCCCTCCTCCTCCCCCTCCTCCTCTTCCTCCTCCTCCTCCCCCCCCCTCCTCCTCCTCCTCCTCCTCCTCCTCCTCCTCCTCCCCTCCCTCCTCCCCCTCCTCCTCCTCCTCCTCCTCCTCCTCCGCGCCGCCCCCCAGGAGCGGTGGCCGGCGCGTGCCTGGGCTTCGCGGGCGCCCGCCGCCGGGCCCGGCGGCAGCCCCGCGTCGCCGCGGGCGACGGGGCCGACGAGGCCTTCCGGTGCCAGCCCGCGGGCCGCGAGGCGGAGGGCGCGGGCGGGATCTCTTCGTCGTGGGCTTGGCATCGCTCGGACGTGTGCACTTTTCCTTCGGCGAGGGCCATCGAGGAGCATCCCCGATCATTTGGCGAGAAAGAAAAAAAACGGGGAAGCCCCGCGTGGCTCTCCAGGGCCGCTATGATGCGCGTCGGCGGCACGAGACAGCATCGGCGCAGTGCGACGGATGCATGGGTGGGAGTGGCAGGACGTCAGTGAGGGGGCCCCAGCACACAAGGATTTTTTTGTCGTGGGGGGCTGCTGCGGGCAAGATTCATGTCCACATCCAGCGCCTCGTTCGGGTCGGGCGAAAGGGGGGGGATAGCAAAGCGGGGGTTTGAGAATCAGCTCACGTAGCTGATTTTCCCGGCGCCTCCCGGCGCCGGAGGCGGCCATGTATCGAGGAATGGGCCCCTCGGTGAGGCCGAAACCAGCTGCATGCAGCAAATTTCGTAACCCCCCCTTTCCCAATCCCCCCCTTTCGCCCGGCCCGACTCGTGGACTTTTTTGGAAGAGGTGCCACGAGGCCGAGGCGCACTGGATATGGATAAAAGTCTAGCCTCTATAGGGGGGCAAAATTATCCATCTCCAGTGCGCCTCGGGTTTCTTGGGAGGGGGGCCCAGGGCACACAAATAGAGACACACAAATAAACATATTCCCCAGATTTCCCCATAGTTTCGGGTTTTTTGTCTTCCCATGGGAAATCCCATGGGAGATCCCATGGAAATCCACCCGTCCCTATCTGAAGGGGCCTTGAAACACACAAATAAATACACACAAATAACCAGATTCCCCATACTTCCCCCTATTTTCTGGGTTTTCGTCTTACCCCCCCCCCACTTCCCATAGTTTCCCCTATTTTCTGCGGGATCGTCGATTCATTGTGTCTGTGTGTTTTGTTCCCTCCTGAGAGGCGGAGGGCGCGGGCAGGATTTCTTCGTCGTGGGGGGCTGCGGGTCCTGAGGGGCAGGCAGACGTGCTCGCGCCGTGGGAAGTCGGGGCGGGAGGCTTGTTGGCAACTTTTTCGGTCCCGAGGGGGCCCCCCACGGGGCCCTGGGACCGCCAAGACGACGAGTCGGGACGCACCGGCCCCGGGGGAAGGACGTCGGGACTTCCGGGGGCCGCGCCTGGGAAAGCTCAGGACGTCGCACATCCGGGCGCGGGCCCTATGAGGTGATGCGCCGTGGTCGGGTGGCTCCCCGGGCCCTTTCTATAGGCGGCTGGGGGCGAGAAGTGCTGCTCCTGCATGGGAGGGCCCCGGGTTCCAGGGCCCGTTTCCCACGGCACCCGCGTCTCCCCCGCGCTGTGTCTTTCCCGGATTTCTACGACCACCCTTCGGGTGACAAGGAGTTTTAGGTGGCCACATGCGAACCCTAGTTACCCCTGCCCCCCACGATGTTTGAGGGGGGAGGGTGGGGTTCACTTCGCTCGGGAGCGACGTGACACCGACAGGACACCAACGGGTCACCAACGGGACACCAACATGACACCAACGGGACACCGCCAGGACACCCACGGGATTGCGACGGGACACCGACGGAGCAACGACACCCTGGGCCACCTCCGCGGACACCAACGGGAAACCAACGGGACACCCCTGGCCGCGCCGGCCACGCTCTAGTCGCCGCGGGGTCACTTCGCTTCGCCCGCAGGCACGGCACGAACCCTAAATCGAAGCCGACTTTCCGGTGGGGAGCTCTCCGTTCCACTTCGGTCTTACCCCCCAACGTTCGATTCAATGCGTCTTGGATGCTGTGGGAAGGGGCGCCAAAAGGTCGATGTGTGGTGGATATAGATACAAAGCTCGGCCCTACAGGGGCCAGATGTTTGTCCATATCCACCGCGACTTTGCTTTACGGAGAAGGGAGCCCTGAACTCCAACCTGCAGTGGACAGTTTTTGGCTCTACACTTTGCTGACCACATGGGAAGGGGAAGACGGTGGGCGAAGACAAGCAGCAGATCATGTCCGTTTGAAGCAGGATTCGACGTCTGTGTCGCCGCGCGCGTTGCCCATTTGAGGCGCAAGTGGCAGAGCAGGAGAGGGTACCCATACCGCTGCCTTTTCTGTGCTTTCTCCCCCTTGGGCCTCCTCGGAGGCCCCCGTCGCCACCGCTTGGTTCGCCTCGAAATTCAGGCCAAATAGCGGTATCGGTACCTTTTGGTTTCTCCAAAGTTCGCCAGCGAAACGTTGGGCGCTGTCGGCCTTGGAGCAGCATGTGTTGCTCGTGCGTAGCGCTTCCGTGCAGGTGGAGGAGACGGCGCAGGACCGGGTGTTCCACTGGCTCGGCAAGTCGCCCGAGTACGGCTCCCCGGGTCGAGCGAAAGGGTTGGGGGGAGAGACAGCAAGAGAATTATCGGGTTGGGAGGAATCCTCCTCCTCCTCCTCCTCCTCCTCCTCCTCCTCCTCCTCCTCCTCCCCCTCCTCCCCCTCCTCCCGGAGGATGGGGCTGGGGGAAATGATGAGATCATCCATATTACCGCGTATTTGGAAGGTGTTGACTCCACTCGCACCCTACGTACCCTGCAGCATCCCAACGCCTTCCTCCCAACACGATCCTGGTCTTTCTTTCCGAGCTGCGACATGTTCGCCAGTTCGTAGGGGCAAAGATGCCGACAGCGCTGCCCCTGCCTCGGGTTCGCCTGTTGGGGCCTCCTGGGAGGCCCTCGTCGCCACGACTGGATTCGCCTCGAAGTCCTGGTCAGAACCCTCCCCGATAGAGAGAGAGAGAGGGCACAGGGGAGAAGCGGTATCGATATTTCTAGGCACCTGCATCGGCGGTTGCCTCCACCAGAGGAAAATGATCCGGTTCTCGGTGAGGGTGATCATATTCAGGCTCTTTCCAAGCCCGTGCAAATTGGGCGTTAGTAAACGGGCCAGTAGCTAAGGGTGCGTTTTCAATGGCGTCTTCAAACAATTGTTGTGCCGCGCGCAAGTGCGAGGTAAACGGTCCCCCTCCCTCCCAGAGATATGGTGATGTATCGACGTTTCTGTTGTCCCGAGCTATTGCGCACTAGTGCGAGGTAAATGCCCTGCCAACCCGTTCTCGCTCGAAGGGGCCCATTAGTTACCGCCCCGTGTACCAACGCCCCGTTTGCAGGGGCTTGGTCTTGAGGTGGGCGGGAGACTGTCACCAGCACCAGAATCCCTCCACCTCCATCTTCCATACTTTCCGACCTCTGCGGAAGGCGCGGAAGGTGATGCATTGAAACTAGTTGAACGCCTCGGGAGACGCAAGAAAACGCAGCGTTTCACGAAGCGCCAGAGTGTGGAAGGTCAGCGCGGAAGGTCTGGAAGAATGAGGGCGAGGGATCCAGGATGTTCTTCCCCAGGGAGGAGGAGGAGGAGGGGGAAGGAGGAGGAGGACGAGGCGGAGGCGGAGGAGGAGGCGGAGGAGGAGGAGGAGGAGGAGGAGGAGGAGGGGGAGGAGGAGGAGGAGAGGATGTTCTTCCCCAGGGGCAGGCACTTCTCTCCCCCGCTGGTGCTGCGGCTAAGGCCCGGGCCCCCGTGGTGGTGGCTTCGTGCCGCGTCGGCGTGGCTGCGAGCGCCCCGCGCGGGCGTGCCAAGGCCGAACGCTGCCCGCGCCCCAGAGCAATCTCGTGAGGAATCTCGCGAGAGATCTCGCGAGAAGCGAGGGCGAGGAATCTCGTGAGAAAGCTCGCGAGGAACCTCGCGAGAAGAAGCGAGGAGTCTCCTGAGAAGCGCTGCCAGCGAGGAGCGGTCTCGTGAGAAGCGAGGGCCCTCGCCGCCCGCGGAGCCGCCCGGGGGGGGGGGAAGGGCGGCCCCCGGGCGGCGCGCCCGGGAGTGCCGCCGCCTCGAGGGGTGCCGCCTGCCCTCGGGGGGTGTCCTCGGCGGCGGCGGCCTTCCGGGCAGCCGGCGGTGTGATCTGTTCGATCCGCCGCTCCTCCTCCTCCTCTCCTCCTCCTCCTCCTCCTCCTCCTCCTCCTCCTCCTCCTCCTCCTCCTCCTCCTCCACCTCCTCCTCCTCCCCTCCCCCCTCCTCCTCCTCCTCCTCCTCCTCCTCCTCCTCCTCCTCCTCCTCCTCCTCCTCCTCCTCCTCCTCCTCCTCCTGCTTTTTTCCGTTTCCTTTCCCGGCCCTCTTTGGACGCCCGACATGGGTACGGAAAGAATGGGTACGATGCCCAACAGCAGTCCCTGTTCACTTTGAACAGGACTCGCTGTCCGCGCCGCCGCGGCCTGTGTCCATTTGAGACAGAAGGCCGCTTGCCCAACAGCGGCCGCTGTTGGTTTGTGACAACATTTGTTGTTGGGCATTGTACCCATTCTTTCCGTCCCAATTTCGGGCGTCCAAGCAGGCGTCTCGACCTCTTTCCTGGATGTCACCATTCCGTAGCGTGTCCGCTTTCGATGGCCCCTTGGCCGCCCAGTTCGGGGGCCTCGAGACGGGAGTCCATGCGAACGGGGGTCAGCCAGGACACCAGATCCTGCAGGATTCTGCGAAGAGACCCTCTGGCCGACCCGGGTTAGCGAGCCGCGGGGCGCCCGCGCATATTGGTTGACTTGGGTTTGCGAAGACCTGCGTCGCAGTTTTTTTTTGTCCTACATTGCAGTGTTTTTGTGTCCTGCTGACCCGGGTCTGGATTGACCTTGGTCAGAAGATCCCCGAGGAGTGAGAAGGACAGGCCTCCTCGGAAGGCGGCGGGGTTTCTCACAGAGCCTCCGGCCTCCTGAGAAGTCCTCCGTGTCTTCGGGGAAGGCTCAGGACATTTCTCAGAAGGCCCGGGGGATGTCTGAGCCTTCGAGAAGGCCCGCCCTTTGTGGGCCCCAGAAACGGCAGGGCCGTTTTTTCACCGTTTCCCCAAAAATGTCTTTTGAACATGGAAGCGGCAAAAAAACGGCGACCCGAAACGGCAAAAAAACGGCTCCAGGATTGGAACCGGAGCCGGAACCGGTCAAACAACGGCGACGGAACCGGTAAAAACACGGCGTAACGGAAGCGGCAGAAAAACGGCAGAACGGAACCGCTTCAAAAACGGCCCTGTCGTTTCCAGGGCCCACTACCCAGACCCCCGAGGTCATGATTTTTTCATGACGCGACCCCCAGAGGTCTGGACCTACTCGCCGGGACCGGTTTTTCACCCCGAGTCGTTTTTTGACGGTCCCGAGGGCCGGTAAGGGCCCCCGGAGGCCGAAGACATAGAAAAAAAACCCGTCGTGCTTTGTTCATGCCTCGAGGGGGTCTGGGTACGTAAGGGCCCGCCCCTGCTCACTCCCCCCCTCGCTCGCCGCCGAGTGTCGTCTCGTCGGAGCGGTGGTGGCCCTCCGCGGCAGCACGGTGGGAGGCAGCGCGGCGCGCAGCGTCCCGGACGGGGGCGGGCCGCGCTGCCGGCGTGCGCGGCCGTGAGCCGGCGGCTCGATGGGCCCTGTTGCGCTCCTCCGTTCCTCCGCCTCCTCTCTGCCTTATTCGGGAGACTCTTCATGGGGGGGGATCCCATGGGGGGATGGGATCCCAGGGGGGGGGGGATCCCATAGGATCCCCTGGGGATCCCATGGGGGGGCAGGAGGGGATCCCATGGGGGGGGATCCCCCCCCCCCCCCCCATGGAATCCCCCCCCCATGGAGAGTCTCCCGACTTATGTCGGGCGTGTCCCCCTACAGGGGGATTTACGACGAAGGTCAGAAAGGTTCCAAAAATAGCCCGAACAGGTCAACAAATACCCCAAAGAGGTCAACACATACCCCAAAAAATACCCCAAAAAGGTCAAACAATTATCAAAAAATAGTCCCCAGACTATTCTTGGATTACTTTTTGTACTGTTCTTGGTGTATTTTTTGTTTTTCGTCGACAAGCCCCCTGTAGGGGGACATGCCCGACATAATCTCTGCCCCGGCAGGACGATTGATGGCAGTCCCCGCCTTCGCGGCCGCCCCGAGGTTCCCCGTGCTTCACCGCCATGCAGAGGCACTTCCCCAACGCGCTGCCGTCGAAGGTCGTGCACAACCGCTCGAGGGCCGTGCTCGAGATGCAGTACGGCTTCCGGCCCGAGACCACGCTGCTGGGCTCCTCGTTCTGCCCCGACGAGATCAACAACGAGGACCGCGACCTGCCCACGGTGATCACCGGGAGGGCCGGCTGAGACGATGGGAGCTGGCCTTCGGGGGGGCCCCTGTCGCCACAGCTGCTGGACACAGCTCGGAGAAACAGTGCGCTGGGCCCCCGTGAGGGGCCCAGGGATCGACTTGAACGGGGGCCCCCAAACGGTGTGGTGACCACACCGTGCGGTGAGGATTCGCGGTCACCGCACGGTTCTGGGACTCGGGTCGTTCTCCGAGGACGTCTCGGGCGACTGGGGCCACCGAGGTCCCATAAACCGTGCGCTGGCGGACCGTGTGGCGAGGTCCTTGGGGGATGTCGAGGTCACCGCACGCTCCGTCACCGCACCGCGTCGGGACTCCGAAGCTGAGCTGCCGTGGTCTCGGCTCGCCCTGCTCCGAGGTGATGCGGCAGTACTACGGGGACATCTTCCCCATGGGCGGCATCGGCGGTGCACCGTACGTCGGCGAGACGGGCTTCGCGGCCTTCTCCAGCCACGTTGCGGACAATGGCGACATCATCGTCGTGTTCGGCCCTCATGTCGGCATCTCGGTGGAGGGAGAGGTGGGCAAGTACCTCCGTCAGGGCCAGAGTGGAAACTCGAGCGCTTGCGGTGCCGTCATCGGGGCCTACAACGCTTGCCTCTGCGGCGGAGGCGGCAACCCTGAGATGGACGAGGCCGACATGCAGATGAGCGAGATCAAGCAGGAGTTTGCCGCCCATGCGGAGAAGCTGTCCAAGGCCGAGGATCCGATGGCCGCGTGCGCATACCAGGAACCGTTGGTTTGTTGTGAACTGTGGGGATGATGTATGTGGCCCCTCTCCCACAGATACTGGCACCCACTGCGGAGGCCTGCAGTTTTCAGCAGACCCGCGCCGGGCCCCCGAAGACTTTAACAAGTGGCCATCGCTGCCATCGCCAATGTTTATGCTCTGCACACGCCGACAGGGTCGGCAGATTTACGCGGTGCCGTCGTCACTCGAACAGGCAGTTTCCTGTCCAGCTTGACGTGCACATGACGTTGGTCTTCGATGTCGGGTTAGGTACGCTCCCTGTGCAATCCAACAAGATTTTTGGGCGTAGGTGGTCTAGGGAGTTCCTCTTCCGACCCCCTTCTTCCCCTTCGAGGAGGGGCTTACCCCTCCCCCCCACACCCTCCCCTGGACCTGGACGGGGGGGGGGACGGCGGGTAGTTGGAGCGTCCAAGATGGCCCAAGACGGCCCCAAAAGGGTAAGCTGGCTCAAGATAGCGCAAGATGCCTCAAGATCGCTTTCAAGATGCTCCAAGAAGCCCCAAGAACCCTCAAAAACGGCCCCCCAGGGGCCTCCGAGACCTCCAAGGAGTTCCCAAAGATGCCAAACGTTTTCAAAAACCTCAGGAAAGTCAATGTGGGTTGCCTTCTCGCCTTTTCGCTTCCGATGGCCGTCCAAGCCGTCCAGATGGCTTGCAGATGCCCCAAGAGAGGCCCAAGAGAGCCCCAAGACGGCACCAAGACCGCCTCAAGAGGGGCCCCAGGAAGCGAGCTTCAAGGCTGTAGCGGGGCAGCGCTAATTCGGGAACCCACCTCTGTTGATCGATGTCCTCCAAGATGGCCCCAAGAGCGCCTCTGCAGCCCCCAAGAGCGCCCCAAGAGGGCCCAAAGAGGCGCCAAGACGGCCCCAAGAGGCCTCCGATAGGCTCCCAAGAGACCCCATACGAGGCCTCAAGAGGATCCCCGAGGTACCCAACTCCTCTCCTTCTCCTCCTTCTCAACCTTTTCGTCCGCCTCGTCCTCGCCCTGCTCCACCCTCTCCTCCTCCGCCTCCTCTTCCTCCTCCTCCTCCTCCTCATCCCCCTCCTCCTTCCCCTCCTCCGCCTCCTCCTCTTCCTCCTCCTCCTCTTCCTCCGACGACGAAGGCGACGACGAGGACGATTCCTCCTCCATCCCCGCCTCTTGGGGTACATGACGGTTTCCCCCACCCTCTGTTCTTCTGTGCGCTCCCCCATTTTCCTGATCACCTCAATTCCCCTGGGCATCGTTTCTGGATGGGCTGGTGGGACACTTTTTTGGTCGCGTCCGCAAGCGAAGGCGCAGGCGGAGTCAGAAGCGGTCCGGGGCGTGGAAACGGGCCTAATTAGCTACAGGGCGCGCCGCAGGCCGGCCGGGCCAGCTCACGAGCAGCTGCTGTGCCGCGCGGAGAGGCTGACAGGCTGAAAGCTGGTGGGTTACGCGAAGCGTCGACAATTTGGTGACCGCAGGCCTTGCGGTAGTCTCCCACAAGCCGTCGGGTTCGCACTCTTTCCAGGGGGGTACTTCTACCCCCTGCGTTACTATTACCCTCGCATCCCTTGAGCGTCACGCGTTGCCAACAACGGGGAGGAGCAAACACAGCGTCCAGGCATTTGAGATGGTCAAAGACCGCATGTTGCGCATCGTCAACACCAAGTTCGGGAGTGGCCGCCTGGTGCTCATCGGCGGCATCCAGCTGAACATGCCGTACCCGGAGTTCGACGACCATTTCCTCCCGCTCATGTTCGAAGTTCGCCAGGAGGGGGAGGCCACCATCGACCTCATGGATACGTTTTCGAACATTTCTACCCAGCAGGACTTGACGCGGTCGCCGTGGGCTTCGGTCGGGGCACAGCGCGAGGTGTTCGCATGGATGTCATGGAGCCCGCCCGCGCAATCGCCCGTGTACCAGTCGCTGCACAAGTTCTTCCCAGGCGCCCTCCCAGGCGAGGCGGTTCACCGCCGGTCCATGCAGGTTCTGCTGAAGTACGGGTTCACCTCCGAGAACACCCTGCTGGGCACCTCGTTCTGCCCTTAGTGGGACCCGGAAACGGCAGGGCCGTTTTTTCACCGTTCCCGCAAAAGGGTCTTGAAAATGGAAACGGCAAAAAATAATTCAACCAGGAACGGCAAAACAATTGCTTCAGGATTGGAGCCGGAGCCGGAAACGGTAACAAGAACAGCCACGGAGCCTGTCAAAAACGGCGTCGGAACCAGGAAAAAGCGGCAAAACGGAGCCGGGGGAAAAAAGGCCCTGTCGTTTCCAGGGCCCACTAAGGTTCTGCCCGGACGAGATCAACAATCAGTCTGACTGCATGGCCGTGTATTTGCAGGTCTCTGGGCGCGAGCAAAACGTTGTTTATTTTGTTTTGTATGCCGTGTTCGTTTCCCCGTTTTGTTTTCCGGCGCTCGCCCGCGCCCGTGTTGCCTTCGTTCTCGCAGGCGGCGGTTCGGCTCGAAACGGGCTGTTCGGAGGATGTGATTGGGATGGCGCAGACTTCGCTTTTGCATCATCGCTTGGAAACGCAAGGGGCGTTGGAGTCAAGAGCAACGTTTTGTTCGCGCCCTGCCAGGACTACTGGGGCGAGGTGTTCCCCATGGGCGGCATCAGTGGCACACCGTTCACGGGCAAGACCGGCTTCGGGGCGTTCTCCAGCCACGTCGCCGACGAGGGCAACATTTTGGTCGCCTTCGGACCCCACGTCGGCATCTCCGAGGACGGCGAGGTGGGCAAGATCCCGCGCAAGGGCCAGGCAAAGATCTCCTCGGCGTGCGGGGCAGTGATTGGCGCCTACAATGCGTGCCAGAGCGGGTGGACTGAGGACAGCACGGACGAGGAAAGCTACGACATGCAGATGGACTTCTGCAAGCGTCAGATCGCACCCCACTCCGAGGCCATTTCGAGGACCGAGAATCCGATGGCCGCGCTGTCCCACCAGTCCTACTACATGGTCAAGGACAGCATGATGCAGTCCGTCAACACCAAGTTCGGGAATGGCTATCTGTGCCTGCTCGGCGGCATCCAGATTAATTTGCCCCCCGGCATCCCAGATCACTTCTACCCGGTGACCTTCGAGCTGCGCAAAGAGGGTGAGCCGACCATCGATCTGATCAGGGAGATGCGCGAGTTCAGTTAAGGAGGTCTGTTGACCACCAGCGTGGAACATATCCTTACCCCTATCATTGGCATCGCCTGATCTCGATGCCAATCTCAAGGATCCTCTCAGTCTCTTAGAGCGCATCCGTAAGATTGTCTTCGCCTTGGGCTTGTCAATCTGAGGGGTATGGATCAGACCGAGGCTGGTCAGCAGGTGAGGACTGCAGAGTGGCTGGCGGCGGGCTGGGCAATGGGGCCAGGTGCCCCATCGCAGCCGAGCCTGCTGCCCGCAGTGCAGTCTACGGTTAGTTTTGACAGGACTCCATCCAGCTGCGCTGTCGCGCGTGTCGGCCGCTGCGCTTGGGGTTGGGGAGCCAGGGTGTGCAGCGTCGCTGCTCCGAATCGTTTAACCGACCCCTGCCCCCATTCCCATCCAGACCCCCACCATCCCAGCACCCCAGTCGGGGATTTCCCCGTCGAAGCCCGAAGGAAACGGCCTGTATCCCCATCTGGGAGGGTCAGTCGGCCAGTGGGGCCCAGGCCACGCCCATGGGGAGAAGGGGTTGTTGGAACGATGCTCAGCTGCGCGGGTGCAGCGCTACGTGGGAGCTGGCCGGGGGGCCGAGGTGGCCCAGGACCGGCTGCAGCCAGCAAGAAATGCGTGGGGGGGGGAGGTTCGAGGTGCTGGGAGGAGGGGAGGGGGGGAGGGGGGGAGGGGGGGGGGGGGGGGGGGGGGGGAGGGGGGGAAGGAGGGAGGGAGGGGGAGGGAGGGAGGGAGGGAGGGAGGCTCTTTGCCCTTTCGGCCTCTGGGGCGCGCTCTTCGGGCGCCCGTCCGAGAGTTGGGCTGGGGCGGAGAGCTGCCCCGGGTGGGCCCCGGGAGGGCTCCGGGGGCCGCTTTTTTGCGTGCATTTGCCCTCCTCCCTGGAAGATTTTCTCGAGGGTCCAGCCAGTGCAGACCCCTGGGCGCCTCCAAGCGTTGCGTGGCTAGGCATCCCATTCGCTGTGGGGCACGCTGAGGGCCTCGCGGGATTGTGGATGCGCAGCTGCGCGGGAGCGCGTGCTCGCAATCTTCGCGCGTTCGCTGTCTTCGCTCACCAGCTTTGCTCGAGAGTGTTCTTTGCATCGGAGGTCTTGCGAGCCTGGCGGAGAGTCTTGAGGTCGTCTCGGCACTTGCGAGGGTCGTCCCTGGGCGACAGCGGCTCCGTCTGAAGCCAGTCATGGGCCGTCTTAAAGCGGTCATCCGCCGAGCGTGGGCAGTCGAGAAACCTTTCTGAGTGCCCTGGAAGGCTTCCGGAGGCCGCGGGCCTCTGAAGCACCCCACACCCGAACTGAGATGTAGTCGGAGGTTGGGTGGTGAGATCGCAGTGAGATTTGGACCCCCCACATGGAAGTCGGCTTCGGTTTCGTGTTCATGTTGTGTGTGCGGGCAAGGCGAAGCTGCGTGGGCGGGTGAGAGGAATGAGCCCTCCTCTGGCTAGGGCGTTGCCTGGCCAGAAGGCGCTTCGCCCAGAAGTCACAACTACTACTTTGCATCTTCGGGGTGCCTTGCCTGTCCTGCAAACGGCAGTCATCTCTTGTACTTGGACCCCCCAGCAGCTTTTCAAAGTGGCGACAGGTTCGAAGATCGCAGCCCCCCCCCAGGGCTGGCAAGGTTTAATCTAGCTCCGCGCGGGGCGTCGCTCCGCTGGACACCCAGTTGTGGCAGCCTTCGAAAGTGGCGACATGTTCGCAGGTCGCATCCCCCCCTTCACAGGGATTGCAAAGCTTATTCTCGGTCCGCGTACGACGCCACTACGCTGGACCCCTCAGAAGCCCTCGAAAGTGACGACAGGCTCGCAGATCGCAGCCCCCCCCCCCCCCCCCAGAGATGGCGAGGTCTTATTCAGGTCCGCTTATGACGTCGCTCCGCTGTCCCCCCAGCAGCCTTCGGATGTGGCGACTGTTTCGAAGATCGCAGCCCCCCAGGAATGGCGAGGTTCAATTTGTGTCCGCGTATGACGTCCCTCCGTTGGACCCCCAGCATCCCTCGCAGGTGGCGACAGTTTCGCAGATCGCAGACCCCAGGGATGGCGAGGTCTTCTGCAGGTCCGCGTATGGTGTCCCTCCGCTGGACCTCCCGACAGCCTTCGGAAGTGGCAGCAGTTCCGGGAAAGACAGCCCCTCAGTGATGTTGAGATCTGATCTTAAGTCGGGCTTGTCCCGTTAGAGGAGGAGTATTCAAACACAGCCAAAAACATAGTTCGGGGACGATGTTTTCACTATTTTTGAATATGTTTGAGCATTTGTTTGTTTTTTTCGTCCAAAATCCGCCTGTAGGAGGACATGCCCGACCTAAGGCTAATCTGAGTCTTCGGCGAGTGCCCATCATGCTGGCCCCTAGCGACGATTTCGCAGATCGCAGCTCCTCCAGGGCTGGCGAGGTCTAGTCTGAATCTGCGGCGCGTGCCCACTACGCTGCCCCTCCCCTTCCCCAATAACTTTCGAAACTGGCGACAGGCTCGCAGATAACAGCCCCCTCTTCACAGGAATAGCGAGGTTTGGTTTCAGTCTGCGTACGACGTCACTCCGCTGGACCCATGACCCCCCAGCAGCCCTCGAATGTGACGACAGGCTCGCAGATCGCAGCCCCCCCCCCCCCCCCAGAGATGGCGAGGTCTTATTCAGGTCCGCTTATGGTTCGGATGTGGCGACTGTTTCGAAGATCGCAGCCCCCCAGGAATGGCGAGGTTAAATTTGTGTCCGCGTATGACGTCCCTCCGTTGGACCCCCAGCAGCCCTCGCAGGTGGCGACAGCTTCGCAGATCGCAGCCCCCAGGGATGGCGAGGTCTTCTGCAGGTCCGCGTATGGTGTCCCTCCGCTGGACCTCCCGGCAGCCTTCGGAAGTGGCAGCAGTTTCGCGACTCACAACCCCCTTGTGCTGAGTCGGCGGCGAGTGCACATTGTGCTGGCACCCCAGCAGCCCTCGGAGGTGGCGACAGTGTCGCAGATCGCAGCCCCCGAGGGATGGCGAAGTCTAATTTGAATTTGCGGCGAGCGCCCACTACGGTGTCCCTCCCCCACAGCAGCCCTCGAAAGTGGCGACGGCTCCGCAGATCGCATGGACGCCGAGGTCCAGTCTGAAGCCGCGGCGAGTGTCCACCATGCTGGCCCTCCCAAACGGCCCTCGCATGGGGCGACCGTGTCGCAGATCGCAGCCCCCCAGGGATGGCAAAGAGACAGGGCGGCAGGCACGTGGGCTCGTTTCGAATCCTCCGATTCGATTCGATTCGACTCCGATGGATTCCGATTCGATTCGATTCGATTCGATTTCGGGTTCCGATTTGGGCTCCGATTTCTTATTGGACGCATACTGGCCTGCCGATTTCCGCCGATTCGACTTTTCCCGACTCGGCTGCCGATTTCTGCCGATCCGACTTATTTCGATCGCCGATCCGACTTATCGATTCGATTCTGGGCTCCCCTGCAGGCACGTGGGCGGCAGGGCGGAAGGCAGGTGGCGGGCAGGGTCGCAGGCAGCCGGGCAAGAGGCGGGAGGCGGAGTGTGCGGCCGCAGTGCCTCCACTCGGAACGAGAACCCGACGCAGGCTGGCTGGGAGCTACGGCGGCCTTGACACACGCACGCTTCGCTTCGGCGGCGAGCTCAGGGGGAGGTGAGGAAGGGCGGTTCTGTTCGGCGGGCGGCGGGGCTTCTCTGAGGCTCCCCGGCCATCTGAAAATCCGCTTGCGTCTTGGGAGAAGGCTTAGAAGCCTTCTCAGAAGGCGCGAGGGCGTCTGAAAAGCCCCGCCGCCTTTTGAGAAGGCCTGCCCCTTCTCACTTCCCGCCAGGGTTCGCCGCCAATCGCTGCAAGCGTCGAGGATTTGAGCTGGAAGCGGCTGCGAGCTAGGCCTGAGTGCTCGTCGAGCGACAGGGGCCAAGGCATCTGCCTCGCCCGACGCGCGCCCATCGAACGACGAGGGCCTACCTACCCGGCGCGTCGCCGAGCTCTTTCCATTGCGCGAACATCATCAGTGCGCTGGTACCCCCTGGCGCCTGCAAACATGTGTGTTTTGGTGCTAGACGAAATTTTAACACTCTCTCCCCGCTCGCGCCCTGCGCAGCGTTTTACCCGCTGGCGACGTGCAAAGTTCGGGGGCGGACAGCACCCCCAACAGTGACACGTCGATTCGTGAATTGTCCGTTTTCGGTTCTCGAGAGGGCGCCGTGGCCGTTATTTTCCAGGCCTGCGCTCGCCAGGTTTGGGCCTCAGGTCGTTTTCACTAAACCACGTTTTACTAAAGGGAGGTCTGTCCATCCCCGAAAAGTGGCGGGGCGGCCGTTTTCGGCCGTCCTCGCCTGGCGCTGTATAGCGCCCCCCCGCGCAGCGTTGCGCGCGAAGGCACTCGCCGCGGAAAAAGAGGCGGCTGCTGCCTGCTGCCGCTGGCCGTGCCGCCCCTGCCCCGCTCCCGGGCCCTCGCCGGGCCTCGTCGCCGCCGCTCGTCTTGGCCTCCTCCTCCTCCCCTTCCTCCTTTTTCCTCCTCCTCCTCCTCCCTCCTCCTCCTCCTCCCCTCCAGCTTGAATGCCAGCATCCTGAGGTTGATCGGGGCTGCCCCCAGGAAATATCAGTAGCCTGACACAGCTCAGGCGGCTTTTTGCCCTTTCGCGCCCTCTAGTGGTGGGCGCCAGTGTTCTTGCGTTCTTTTCTTGTGTTGCTTGGTCCTGGGGCCCCTGGTCTGCGGTGTTTAGCTGGACCCTGGGTGCTGGCTGCCCCTCGTCTTTCAGGCTTTTCGACTTAATTAGGGTTCCCGCCCGCCTCAGTCTTTCTCGATGGTAGTTTCCCGAAGAATTTTGTGGTGCTCAGCCCGCTTCTGGCCACAGGGATATGTCCGTTCTGTGAGTCGAGGAGCGCGTGAGCCCCCCCCACGTGCTAAGTCACCGCATATTATGCGCACTCGAGGAACCAGAGCTAACTTTTTGTTTTCAGTTTCGGCCGAACTCTGACTCGCGTTCCTGATGAGCCCGCCGCCGCCGCCTCCTCCTCCTCCTCCTCCTCCTCCTCCTCCTCCTCCTCCTCCTCCTCCTCCTCCTCCCCCTCCCCTCCTCCTCCTCCTCCTCCTTCCCCCCTCCTCCTTCCTCCTCCTCCTCCTCCCTCCTCCTCTTCCTCCTTTTTCCTCCTCCCCTCCTCCTCTCCTTTCTCCTCCTCCTCCTCCTTCTCCTCCTCCTCCTCCTCCTCCCCTCCTCCTCCTCCTCCTCCTCCTCCTCCTCCACATCATTATCACCATCATCAGCATCATCACAACCATGGCCACCATCATCGTTTGCCCCCTCCCCCCCTGCTGTTTACTCGTCCCCCTCCTGCTTCGTGCCCCCCCTGGGATCGGTGGTTCAAGGATGGGGTCCTGAAGGATGGGGCCCTAAGGACCAGGGACCTCAAACAATGTAAGTCCACGCTTGAATCCCTTCCTATACTTGGGACCCCCAACTCTGAACCGCAGATGGACGCGCATGATGGTGATGATGCTGATGATGACGATGATGATAATGATGGCGATGTTGATGACGATGATGATGATGCTGATGTTGAGGCTGATGATGATTATGATGATGATGATGATGATGCTGATGATGATGATGATGCTGCTGATGATGATGATGATGATGATGTCGATGATGATGATGACGACCACGACGCTGATGATGATAGCTGTGATGATGACGGTAATGCTGATGATGATGCAGGCCCGGATGGTGATGATGTGAGCGATGATGATGATGATGATGATGATGATGATGATGATGATGATGCTGATGCTGATGCTGATGATGACGATGGTGGCGGTGGTGGTGGTGGTGATGATACTGATGATGATGCGGATGGTGCTGATGATGGTGAGAATGCTGATTGTGCTGATGGTGATAGTGATGATGGATGTGCTTGCTCGGAAATGTTGTCTGCGGTGTTGGAGCACCGCCGTCTCGTCGCCATCGTTCCATTGGCACAATCGCTCAAGCGTTTTCCGGCTATGAGGTAGCCCGCGCCACGATCCTGGTGCTCGCGCGCGGGGTCAGCACCGGGGCGGCATTGTGGGGCGCGGGCCATCCTTGTAAGCCCTGCGCCCCAGTCCTGCAGTTCCCCGCGATGTTGGCGACCACATGCACCTGCGAAACGCCGTCGCCCCTTGCCGAGGCCGGCGCCGTGGCGGTGGTCGGCTGCTGGTCGTCTGGGCGTACGTGCTGGGCACGGCGTGGGGGCTCGCGACCCCCGAGCGACGTTCGGGGTACGTGCCGGCCCCCACAGGCCGTGGTGAAGGAGGCGGTCGCGTCGCTCGAAGAGCAGGCGCGGGCGCAGCTGTCGTTCGTGAGTGGCCGAGGCGTTGCAGCTCGAGCGTGATGGCGAGCAACGCAGGGAACCATGTGATGGTATCGTGCCAAGGCGTCCCGGGCCCCGCCGTGCACCACGTGAGGTTGATTCGGGCCGTCCGCCCGGGCTCTCTCAACGCCTTCGGGCTCACGCCCGGTCTCGGGTACTACGAGGAGTCGCGCACCGGTGGGCTGGACTCCGTCAGTGCGTATGTCTGGGCATATTCTAGGGAGGTGCCGCCTGGAGTCGCCTCTGGGCAGGTCTACGGATTTCGATCGGCGCCGTCCCAGGCGGTGATCGACGCACTCTCGATGCTGGGAGCTTACCGTTTGGGTGTGCCGTGCATGCCGCTGCCGCTCGCGTGCCACTTCAATCCGCCTGGCGGGGGGGGCGCCGTGGAGGATCGCGGAGGCTACTCGATAGAGAACGTCGTTTGCCACAAGCTGCCGTTCGGCACCCTCGGGCTCGGCGACGATGCCCGCATCCACGTGGCTGGCGTCTCGGTGGCGGTGGCGCAGCTCTCGGCCGCGGCCGCGCTGGTGCTCGCCACGGGCGACGATCGCACGTTGGCGGTGAGGTATGATGTCCAGGGCGTACTCCGTCGCACATGGGGCGACGCCGTAGCCAACTCGTCGGAGGACGTCATCGCATGGGATCTTCAGGGGCCTCGCGCTATCCTCTCGGGCATGAAGCACGCGCGGGACAATGACAACCGCGCCCTCCACTCGTACGAGAACGGGGTGTGCCGCTCCAAGGTGCCCGCAGGAGATAGGAGCATCAACGATCATGAGGTTATCTGTTGCACCCTCGACGCGGCGGCGATGCAAGATCTGCAGGATCGATTGAATTGTCTCGCCGAGCCGACCCGACTACAGTGCGGCCGACCTGTTCATGGGTTGGAGTCTCCGCGTGGGTGGCGGGGCCATCGCTCGCGGCCTGTCGGCCCACGTCGGCGATCAGCACAGGCCGGAGTCGGCGATCTTGGTGGAGGCTCAGAATGCGCGGGACGAGACCAACGCGAGGGCGAAGGATCGCGGCAAGGACGAGGGCGCGGCGGCTGCCAAAGCCGCAGGCGAGGAATGATGCGGCGTGGGCCGCGGGGGCGGCGGTTGGGCCCGCCTGCCCCCCTCTCTCGCCGTCCTTGCTACCCTGTCCCATCTCGAGGCGGCGAGGCACGGCGCGTGTCCAGGGAGCTCTTCCCGCTCCCGAGTTTTGACGAGGCGACGCCAGACGCCTCGCAACTCTCTCGCTCAGTTCGCCAGCGGCTGCGACGTCGGCGCGCCATGGGGCTCAGGGCCAACGAGAGTATCCAGGCCCTGAACGAGCTCTCCGACGCGCCTTCTTCCTCTTCGTCGCCGGCGCCGCCGCGGGCGGACAGGGGCGCGGCGCAGTCAGCGGCTCAGCGTGCAGTTTTGAGGCGCGTTCTTCCCGCAGGAGCGCCTTCTTTCTCGCAGCGGCGAGCAGCCGCCCGCGAGATTCTCGGCTCCGACCTCGTCTACTGGGATGACCGTGGGGGTTCCTAAGTGGATGGGGGGGTTACAAGTGGGTGCCAAGGGGGTTATATCTGGCCCAACCTGGCTTATAAGTGGGTTACAAGTGCCCTAAGTAGCTTAGGGGGGTTAACGATCTGGGCTAGGTGGGCTCCGCCCACTTAGCCGAGTTATCGACCCCCCCTAAGCTACTTAGGGCACTTGTAACCCACTTATAAGCCAGGTTGGGCCAGATATAAACCCCCTTGGCACCCACTTGAAACCCCCCTATCCACTTAGGAACCCCCACGGTCATCCCAGTACGACAGTGGAGAGGGTCCAAGTACTTTGGCCAGGTACGACGCCACGCTGATCGCGGTGCCGGAGGAGTTGGAGCAGCCTCCCGCCGCACATGATGTTCTCGACCCTGAGGGGGCCCGATGCCTCCGGGAATTTCGATCGCGCACGATGTTGTCTGAGGATGAGTTTGGCCAGCGGTGCGAGAGCGAGGCCCCTGTCGCCCCACGCATGGGCCCTGCGCTCGCCTCGGACTCTGACAAGTATGCGGACATTGTGGCACGGCTGGACCGAGCAAACATGCTGAGGTACTCGACCAACGCTCATGACCTCATCACACCGTTCTTCGTCCGTAAGAAGTCTGGGCAGCTGCGAATTGCGCGGGATTGCAGGGCAGTCAACGCGAGGTTCGCGAAGTGCCCTAAGATGAATATGTTGTTTGAGAGTAAGCTTGCAGACCTCGAGTTCGGCCAGGGCGAGGAGGCGTTCACCGCGCAGGCGGACCTG